CTCCTAAAGAAAGGATTATGGAATAACAGCTTTTGGTCAGGACTTAGTCAGAAAACACCTGCTTTGCTCATAGAATGTGCTGAGACCAATCTCCACGTACAGCTGGAATTTTTTTTTTTACTCAAAAACCCTGGAGAGAAACTGCAGACCCAGTGATGAATTTCTGAATTACTGACACCCACACCCCTGTCAATTTGTACTGCTCTTCTCAGCAGGCTGCAACTGAAAGTGCAGCCTGCCTTCCAGTGAGTTAGCATGTATGAAGCGAAAAGTTTCACTGGTGATATCTTATTTCAGTCATTGGCTGATGAGCTACAAAGTCATACCTTCTAGTTGTAATGTCCAATGAAGAGGCACGTGAGTCATTTCACTATTCTGCTGAATCTGACTCCAGCAAATCATGAAGCAATCCGTTTTGTACAGACTCGACTGATCTGATGGGTCAACTGTGTTAAAAGAATTATTAAGATTATAAATGGTTTGGGGTATTTGAAAGCTCTGAATAAGTGGCATATTATCAATCATGATAATGATGATGCGATGCTTTCATCTAATAGGCTGAGTTTGTTAAGGTCAGACATTTCCTGACTGGTTACATTTATCTTAGTGGTTCACTAAATACCAGCAAAGAGTTCAAGTTTCCTATGTTTCTTTGTTGCCTTTTGCTGGCTGTCTGGATTTTTGAATTCAAAATAAGCTAGTCCTGGGATTTCTTGGAACCAGCTTGATCAAGTGTCCATGCAGTTACATAGAGAAAACACATGAAAATCTATGTATCTGTGCAAGTGCTTAAAGTGCTTGCACACTGTAGTAGCAGGATTCTCTGTATCCTTAAACTGTCATGTGTGTATGCTTTTCTTGGTCTGTGCAAAACAAGCTTCTGGAGAGCAAATCTTATTACAATTCACCTCTCAAAAAGTTGTTTCTGTTTCAAATGGATTGCTCCCTCCCACCCTTAACATTTCTGCCAGTGGTGTTTTTTAAAATAGATGTTATGGTGAGCTTGAAAATTGCTGTCTTTCCCCCCCCCCTGTTGTAGAACTTGTGCTATTGTGTACACTGATTTAGCCTAGTAGCTTGAATTGCTTCAAATACTACTTTAATTGTTGTGCAGTCTCTTTCCTCCCTTCTACAGTATGAATATTGGCCTTCTCGCACAGACATGTGAATATGGAGCATTTTGAACGTTTGAAATGCAGGATGAATATATTACAACAATTCTTTGTTTTGAATGGAAGAGTTAAAATATTTTCTCCGAACGTACTTCCGTCTGTACATATTTTAGCAGTACATCCAAAATATGTTTTGATATTTTAAAAATTACCTCATAGCAAGGACTTTGGTGCTCTTTTTCAGCTCCATGACTGTCTGTGTTTGATTTTTGAAGGGTAAAATAAGAAATTCATTGCTGTCTTCAATTTGTGCTGAACTCGGCATGTTTTCGAATATTATACCCCACTTCTTATATGAGATAGAAAAAAAGTATTCAGGCTGTGTAGAATGATCTGTGTAATTGGTCTCTGCTCCCCCCTGTGCTTTTGTTATCAGTACAAGGAGCTTGGAAGCTGAACATACAGTTGGTGATCTACACTCAATCAGCACACATTTCTCTTTACCAAGGTTGCTCTATTGGGTTTTTACAACACTGGAAGAAATTCATAATTAGCACTTAGTTTAGGAAGAGATTCAGCAAACCCTTATCTAGTTAAACTAATTATGCCATGTACCTATTACCTCCTATGCTTGCCAAGCTCTAGATACTCCTTCTTAAGCTGAACCTCTGGCAAGTCTCTGTTTCTGTTCAGCTGTATTTCATATCTCATAAATTGCAGCTGAATTATAGCCAGGGGGAATATTCAGATAAGATCCAGACTTTTGTCACTGGGGTAAAACTTTTGACTCTTTTGCAATAATGTTTTTCTTGTTTGTGGTGCCCTTCATTGAATGAGGCATTATATTTGTCAATTGCTTACAAGATAATAGGTATAAGTAAAAACATAGTTATGAATACATGGATACATATAAGAAAAATAAACATATATATAAAAGAAACAATAGGACAGGGATGGTAGGCACGTTGATGCGCTTATGCACATCCCCTATAGACCTCTTAGGAAAGGGGTGAGGTCAATAGTAGACAGTCTAAGGTTAAAGTTTCTGGGGTTTGGGGAAAAATATATGGCAATAGACAGCAAAAAAAAAAAAATAGACAGCAATGTTTGGCTTCTGTAAATACAGTAGAGTTGTACAGAGTTTACAACTAGATGAAAAAACATCTGGACTACAAACAAGAAGAGAGTTCCCTTCAGCTATCTCTAGTTTCCAGCAAGGACAAGAGATGAAAACAGATGAAACTGGGAAAGATTACAAAGGTTGAGAATGGAGGAAACCTCATATAGCTAAGTTTACTATAAAGTAGGAAATTATAACAGAAACAAACAGGTAAGGAATAGCCCAAGAATGGGTACAAGGGAAAAAGGTTGGTGGAAAAGTTTACACCAAGGATAGGCAACCTATGGCCTTTTTAATTATTCCTGCCCTACAACTTTGATCTCCCTTGCTACCTAGCTTGTTGATAATTGAATTTAAATACAGCAAGATAATTGTCCATCCCAGTTGTATACCAATAGTACAGATCAATGTATGCTTAAATAAAGTTCAAACCAGTATGTTACGTTACTCTCTATGCAGCCTGAATAATCCCAGCAAGTTTACTGAAAAGAGACAATACAATTAACAAACTGCAATGCAGGTAGGGAAAATAAATCAACTGTGGTCACAAATAGGACATGGGGGCATCACATTTCAAGTTCAACAGCCCTAAATTTTCATGAAAGCCAACTTAATTTGAAATGGAGTATTTAAAGCCATTTCTGGGGAAAATACTGTACATTTGCTTACCCCAAATATGCTTTTTCTAGGGCCAGTTGGATGTTCTTATTTTTCTTTGAAGACATTTTGCTTCTCATCCAAGAAGTTTCTTCAGCTCTGACTGGATGGTGGGGAATGGAAGGATTTATGCTTCTTGCATACAGCTGGTTATTTGCATTCTTTTAGAGAGTTGTTGCGGTCACTTGGAGGTTTGTGGGCACAGACAAACTCCAAATGGCCTCAACAACTCTCTAAAAAGAATACAAATGATCAGCTTCTGCTAGAAATGTAAATCCTTCCATTCCCCACCATCCAATCAGAGCTGAAGAATGGATGCAAAACATCTTCAAAGAAAAACAAGAAAGTCCACTTGCTTCTTGAAAAAGCACCTTTGGGACAATACTTGGAGTGTTTCCTTCTGTCTGTATTACAGGAAAGGAATATAGAGAACAAGCAAATGATAAAATCAACTCACCTTTGAGGAAAATCTACTCCACTTTTTTAAAGTTTAGAAAGAATAGTAAGAAGGAGTGTGATAATGCTCAATTCAAAATGATGCAGAGTATGGAAAAAGTGGACAGATGTTTTTCCTTATGACAGTCATAGTTGGAGACCCAGAGTAAGAAAACAAGTTCTTATTGATACCACTAAAATATAGAAATATAATCTTAGGCAATTTTTAAAAAATAATTTTATTCATCTGGTGTACCTGTTGCATCTTTTCCTGGATCAGAAAGAGAAGTCACTCATACCTTGTTACCTTAGGGTTTCACTACTGCAATGTATTTCACGTAGGTCTATTCTTGAAAATCACTTGGAAGCTTCAACTGAATACAATGGCATTGGCAGTAATGGGCATAAGTAGGTATGTCCATGTGGCACTTCTGCTCCCTGAGTTGCACTGTTATCACTTTAGTTCCAACTGTCAATTCAAGGTATTAATTGTGACTTATAAAGACCTACATGGCACGAAGCCAGATTATGAGAAAAACTGCCCCTCTCCTGTGTTGTCCAGGTGACCCCACTCTTGACAGCTTTCCAGAAAGCCTTGAACACTTGAATGTTCTCCCAGGGCTTGGGGTATGATTATTGGTGCCCCTTGTTGGATATGTTTGAGGATATAGATGTTAATCAAAAACACCATCTTTTTAAAAAATTCCCATTCTTATTTCTTAGCATTTTATAATTTTATTATAATGTATATTCCTATTTTGTTTGGTTTCATTGTATATCTAGAATCAGTTTGGAGCCAGAGAGTGCCTAAACTGAATAAATGAAATGAAATGATAAGTTGGTCAGTTGCTACTAAACAGGATGCTTATATGTCACCATGTGATCCAGAAGCATCGAATCTCAAAAAATAGCAGTTGTTTAAAGATAAGAGGAGAGGGTTATTGCATCTCTATAGCCTATTTATGGCTTGTTATCTGTTGATCTATAGGTTTTGTTATGGTGGGAAACAAGATACTGAACTAATTTGCTATTTGGCTTGGTCCATATAGTTTCTAAATCAATGTAAAGCAAATTGATGGAATTTTTAAAATTAAAACATAGGGAGAATTGGGATTCCCAACGGGCATCTGAAATCTCCACCCTCTACTTCATAAAACCAATGCAATCAAAAGTTAAAGGAGACATTTTTAATTATCTTCCCTACAAATAAACACTTCTTATACTGTATATCCTTTTCAAAACAAGAGAGAGGAGAGACTGTTTCCTGGTTGTTACAAAAAATCATAAGGGAACATTCTATTAAATGAAGTCTTTTGTCTACTCCATTAGCCAGCCCTCCCCTCCCACTCACTCCAGTTGTTTCTCCCGAAAGCTGGAAGATTTTTTTTAAAGGATATTTTTTAATCATGATAAATGTTTTTGTATAAAAAAAAAACTTATATATACAACTATGTATATAAGTATTATCCTATGCAATTTTTGTGCCAAACTCGGAGAAGTGCCACCTTGATTATCAAGTTCTTGGAGTTGGAACAGTTGTCTCTTGAACAGCTGCATTTGTGTAAGCCTGAAGGCAGGTGGCCCCGCTAGTCACTTGCCACTCATCACCACACTGAAGTCAGAAAGATCCATCCTTTTTTTAAAAAAAAAAAGATGTTCCAAATGCATTTAAGAGTTTAGAATTACTTTGCTTCATTCACAATGCCTGAATATCTTCCATGCTGCTTCCAAACAGTTTTTTTTAAATGCCACATCATAAGTATGATTTATGTCCTCACTAATATTAACAAAGCCTTCAGCTTCCTAAAGTCAATGTTTTTCACATCCTTATTCATTTTACTCAGTTCTTCTGAATGTGAAGCTTTTGTGGTGTTCAGTTTTGCCATTTTAGGAGAAGGAAATGCCAAGCTGAAGAAGCTTTTAGCCTCCTTTGCCATTCCGCTTTTCTTGTCTTGATGTGAGTTGCTGGTATCAGAACCATGAGGCAAAGAACGAAGCTGGTATTTATGTGTAGGAAGGGACGGTTATAACCAGCAGCTCAGCTCAGGAGCGATCCAGCACAGTAGGAATAATGGTGAGCTGAAAACCAAGATCAGAAGCTGTTACAAATTGACTTTGGCTCTGTCCCCATTCCTACATAGGCAAAAGTTTGACTAGAGGAGAAGTCACGGTGGAATCTAAAACCAGTAGAGATCTTTGCTTTTATCCTGAGGTTGCAAACCTGAGAACAGAGAGGAAAAAGAAAGAAAAAGAAAAAGAGAAGTTGGAAATTTAAAAAAAGGAAGAGAAAGAAAAGAAATGAAATAAAGACAGAAAGAGCCAAATACCCCCACATCCTTGCAAACATTGGGTAAGTTACTTAAAGCACAAGAACTGATTTCTAGAAGAAGTGCGAAATGAAGAAAAAGATGTATGGATTAACTTCATGTGAAAACTTACAAAATCTAAAATGCTTGAAGTTACAACCACTGGGCAAGTTACTAAACATTACAGCCTGTTATACAGTATTCAAACAGCTGTTTACAAATGAGTCACCTCTTTATTTATTTTAAAAAAAATAGAAAAATGCCAAGTCTCAGACTTTTTACATGATTTCTGGCATCAAAAAATAGTTGCCATGATGATCCTTGACCAAAGTAAATAGGAAAAAATAAAATTAACTTTCAGAGTTATTGTAAAGTTGACAGTAATGGACAATATCATTCAGTAGAGCAGTGTTTTTCAACCGTGGCAACTTTAAGATGTGTGGTCTTCAACTCTCAGAAATCCCCAGCCAGCAGAGAATTCTGGGAATTGAAGGCCACACATCTTAAAGCTGCCAAGGTTGAGAAACACTGTAGTAGAGTTTCAGGACACTTACTGAAAGAAACAAAAAAAGACCTCACACTGTTGGGTGTTCTGTGTCTGTTTCTCCTGTCCTCCTGGTAACATGAGGCAATATGAGTCATGATGTCATCATGCTGAGTGTTTCCTTGTCCCCTCATGGAGAACCAATGATGTGGAGAGGGCTGAAGAAACACAACAGCTTTGTTCACACCTTGTGTTAGGCAAGCCATGGTTTGTTTAATCAAGGATTATTGAAAAAACTGCTGTGTCTGTTTTCCTAACATTATGCTAAACCACAAAGCATGGTTAGCAAGTTACATTGGCTGGACTAACAAAACGGGTCACATTCTAGGTAATATGTTTTTCTTCTTTCTGTTGTCAGGATTGCAGGCAAGTAAATTACATGATAGCTTAATGCTGGGGTACAGAACCTTTGTCATCTTAGGACCAAAAGCTACAATTCCAAATGTGACAGAAAGCAGAATTCAAATTTTGAGTTTTCATCAGGATTTTTAAGGGCTGAAATGGTTCTTTAAGCCTCCAGAAGACTTAAGGTACCTAATTTGCACTTAAAGTCTCTGGGATATAAAGAAACAAACAAAGAAAAAGTCTGATCACAATAAATTATTTTTCCTGCCAGATCTTACCTGTTTCTACATTCAGTCCTAAGCTCTGTGCCATCTCTCCTGCAGGGCCAGCAAAAGGAGCTGGCGTTGTCCATGATGATGTGGCAGGCTCATTCTTGCCTAGCTCACATTGAGGGCTGACTGGTGTGGGCACCGAGGCAGGAGAGAGGCGGTGGGGACGCACAGAAGCAGCAGGCACCAGCAGCGAGCCATAGCGAGGGTCAAAATGTGGACTGTAGACTTCGTGCACTGTGGTGGGCCTAGGATAGGCAGAACTCTGGGCACCGATGTATGGGTGGTGATGGTGGTGATGATGATGGTGAGCGGGGTGCCAAGGTTCCGGGGGGCCCTGATGAAGATGGCTGTGCAGGGAGCCTGGAGAATAAGGGTCCGCTGTAGCAAAGGGCAGTTCACTGTGGGCAGTAGCTGCCAGTGGGCTGCCCAAAGAGGCAGGCATAGAAGAAGATTGGTAAGTGCTGTTCCAGAAGGAGGGGGGGAAACTACGCTGACTCATAGGAAAAGATCCCTCTGTATAAAGAAAGACAAGCACAAAACAGACAGCATTAGAAGGGTAGGATGACAATATTTCTATTCTTTGTCACAACGGTGTATCTTCTAGGTACCTTTTCCCAGTTCTATAACCAAGCCCAATAAGTTTATTCTTTTAAGAGTTCTCAAATAGACTAATATAGCAATAGCACTTGGACTTATATACCACTTTATAGTGCTTTACAGCCCTCTCTAAGTGGTTTACAGAGTCGGCTTCTTGCCCCCAACAATCTGGACCCTCATTTTATCCACCTCAGAAGGATGGAAGGCTGAGTCAACCTTGAGCGTGATGAGATTCGATCTGCCAAATTGCAGGCAGCTAATAGTCAGCAGAAGTGGCCTGCAGTACAGCACTCTAACCACTGCACCACTGAGGCTCTAGTATCCTGCCTTTCATATCCTTACAGAATATGTGTTTAAAACAAAAGCAGTTCCCCTAAAACAGTCCACTAGATTATTCAGGCCTGTTTTCTTTCACAGATGACACGCAATTGCTTTCTTTTGTATTTTATTATTAATATTTCTAAACCAAATAAAACACTTCAAGCATTTGTTCTCACAACTATGATAAAAACTGTTTTTTATCATGCAGGTATAAATATTAAATAACTTCAGTCTATGCTTCATTTCACACTGTTTCTTCCTGACTCTGGGCGATATACAAAACTAGAGAAAACATAAAAACAGACAGCCTAGGTTGAAGTAAGAAAACCAACAAAACAGAGGCCATTGAACATATCATCAAACTTAATCCAGGTCTGAGTCCAAAGCCAAGTTTTCAAACCTTTCTGGAACCCCAGCAGAAAGGATGCTATCTTTTATCTCTAGGGGATGCTGTTCCAGAGGATGGGGGCTGTTACAGAGAAGATATACTTCTGAAGAAGGGGGACTAGAATGTGCCCATTCTATAGAAACATACTGACTAGCTAGGCAAAAACCTTTGGAGACAATTAATCTCGCAGATACACAGCCCCTATGCCATACAGAACTTTGTAAGTAAATATTATTCAGAAATGAATATCATGAAACTGTCAATGGGAGGCTCAGAGCTGTGTTTTTTGTTCTGAAATAGATATAATTGTTTATAAATTTAAACCTGGGTGTTCAAAATTGAGAGTATTTATATGCATCTTGAAGGTGAATTTTCTCCTCCCAAACTGAATGACACATAAAAAATGTAAAATATTATTTTTGAAATCATATGAAAAGGGTTTATTACCACAAAATAAGTTTTGAGACTTTGATGCTTTTAAAACAATAGTTGGTTTCATATACTACTGTATGTGAAATTCTAATGTGTGTTTTATTTTGGCTTAGTGTTAATACAATCATGGTTTATACACCTTTAACATAAAACATAATTTAGTACAAATCTGCTCATTCTGACTTATTCAAAACATGAATAAAGCCAATGTACCTTTTCATTCTTTCACATTAACTTCAAATCAAAATATAAATTTCTACACAATTTAAAACATTCTACTTACATTTAAAAATAGGGTTCAGTTGAATGTTTGGCATTGTGCATGAAATTGTTCGGTTACTTATCATTTAAAATCATTCTTAGCACCACTCTATCTTTTTTTTTCTGTGTCTATAATGCCCACCACTGAGTCTGATTGCTGGTAACTTGATTGAACAGTTCCTACAGTTTTCTTGGCAATGTTTTCAAAAAATACTTTGCCATTGTCTTCTTCCTATAATGAGACAGAGTGACTTTCCAAGATCAATCAGTCGGGTTCCATACCTAAGGCAAGACTAGAACTTATTGTCTTTTGGCTTCTAATCCCATGACTTTAACCACTATACCAAATTGGCTTATAAATGCGGGGGAACCTTTACCTTTATCTTTACAACAGTGGTGGGATTCAATTTTTTTTACTACTGGTTCTTTGAGCATGGCTCGGTGGGTGTGTCAGGGGAAGGATACTGCAAAATCCCATTCCCTCCCTACTCCACTAACCTGCTTTCCAGCTCTGTTCTCCTGTGCAGGGCAACAAAAGACCTAGCCAATCAACTGGGACTCGGGAGGCAGAGAATAGATGGGGGTGAGGCCAGTCAGAGGTTGTATTTGCCGGTTCTCCAAACTATTCAAAATTTCTGCTACTGGTTCTCGAGCACTGGTCAGAACCTGCTGAATATCACTTCTGCTTTACACTAAAGATAATATCTTCTTCAAATGACTTCAACTGCATATCCATCTAGTTTTTGGGTAAAACTAGATTGCTAGTTTTAGCAATAGAGCTGAGTTATTCTCTTTTTCTGGATTCCTCCCCTTCCCTCCAAAAAATTCACAGTATAACCTAAAGGTCTGGTATTAATTCATATCCTTTTACTAACCAGAGCAAAGCATTTTTACTTTCTGAGCCCATACTCTCCCATTTGCCATTTGCTCCCATTTGTTAGGCCAGCTTATTAAAAACAAAACCTTCTAAAAACCAAGAATAGTGAATATGTGTCCTCCAGAGTTCTATGACAACTCACCATGGCCAGCTTGCTGTGACCAACTCACCGCGGGACAACTTGCCTTGGGGCAAGCGTTACACTAATATCGAAGAAATAGTGGAATAGAATCATTAAAGAAAGGATGCCAAAGGAGGAACAAAATGAAACGTGAATGACAAAAATTAAAATAGTGTTTACATTATTTTAAATAATTAAATTGAATTGTTGTATTGTCCCACAGCGAGTTGTCCCGTGGCGAGTTGGCCATGATGAATTGGCTGTGGCGAGGTGTCCCAATCCAACTTCTAAGTTCCAGCAGTCCTAATCAACGTGGCCAACTGCTCAGCATTCTATCTCATCCTGCTCTATGTTTTTCATAATTCATTAAGGATTTTTAATGTAACTGATTTCATTGTGTACTAATATTATACTTCAGTAAGTTAGTGATTAGCTATCCTGACTAGCTTACTAAATGAACTGCCCTTTTCATTTAATTAGTCTTAAAAATACCATTACTCTTCCTTTTAAAAACTATTTTTAAGGCTTATTAATTATGATATAGCCAATGGCAAATTTTACACCCTCCATTAAAATATGAACACCTCCCATTTGGGAATTCAGCAAGGAATGTTGATGGTCAGGTTGTTATATTAATACTCCAAAAGTACTGTAGGGAAGTAGGATAAAGTTTGCACACTTTGGCTGTGATAAATTGAACAGGAAAGCCCAACATACAGTATATAGTATTTAGATTATGGGTTGGGAATAATCTAAGGTCAGAAGAAAGTTTGAATTGCCAGGGTGTTTTCCAAGTGACAAAATGTCCTAGAAACCCCAGTTCCTTTGTCTTTAGAGAAGAGGCAATCTATAAACTGCAATCTTTTTCCTACCCCCACTTTAAAAACTTAGAAGGAGTGTTAGATAATATGTCCTAAAACCAAACAATTAATTTTAAAAGATGGAGGACTATGGATGAAAGAAACTGCTCTATTTTGGGCACTTATCTATGATTCATCTCACAAGCATAAAGGAAAGACACAGACACCATGCATTTCATTTTTTTCTAGGGATGCAAAATTATTGTACTATATTTCTTCTCTCAGGCAACTGTCAGCTGAATGCACTGAAGTGCAACCCACCAGTTCTTGAACTGGCAGAAGAGTATTCCAGCACAAAATTTGCTTCCTTGATTGCCAAACTTGTTTTTCCTTTTCTTTCTTTTTAGTCACAGTAATGAAGACAATGAACAATGCCTTATATTCACAAATTCAGGAAAATTATTGGTTGAAATATCTGGCTTCCCACTGAGTATCACTGCTTATAGGCAAAAAAGTGACCCACTCACTCTCCATAATGCGGGGATAACAAAACAACAGAACAGTATGAACTTGTAATGTATCCAATAGTGACAGAACTAGCCACACAAAGCTGACACAACCACCTTCTTACTAGCACAAGACTCCCCTTGGCTAGGCATTTCGCCATCCCTTGTGTTGCTTGGTTGCTTTAGGTTCCTAGTGCACACTGGAAGCCTGTACTGTACCTGATGGTCTTTTAGCATGAGCTAAATGTGTTTTTGATGCCTTCTTTGCAATCATAAAACCATAGGCATAGGAGTGGGTATTACACTAATGGATGAACTGCAATGAGGCATATATATTTGTTTCTGTAGCTGACCTGATGCCATCCGAATGCAACTACACTCCTGCATCTGGAACTAAACATTACTGTGGCCACTAGGATCTAGTGGAAGGGTAGAAGAGAACAAATTGAAAAGGAATATCTCTACTTCTATCTTGAAGAGTAACATTACAATAGCCTTCAGTGGCACCTTTGACAATATTGTTGGGGGGGGGGTTCCTTGTTTTTTAATGACTTTATCTGAAATCACAGTTGCTGGGAGAGGGGTGACATATAGTTATAGGACACATTTCTAATAATCCCAGGCTGTGTGAAAAAGCTGAGCTAATTGGGAGCTTGCAGGAGCTGTAATGCAAGACTCCTAGATGGAGGGCATGGATTTGGAAGAGGTTACTTGAAGCTATGGTAAATTCTTCCAAATATTTATTTTATTTATTTATTTAGTTTAGTTTGTCAAGCATATATGAGAAAATAAGTATAAATATGAACATAACATATAAACATATAAGTATAAATTGGTATAAGTACACACATAATAAATGAGTGTGAATAAATGGGAACAGTAGGACAGGTATGTACAGCACTTTCAAACTGAAAGTTTTTACTTGAGGATAGTTCGTTGTTTAAGAGAACTGAGGAAGTGTTTTCTGAGGCATTTTAGGATGAAATTCTGAAAATGTTAAAGATGAATTGATCCATCAAACTGCATGGCAAGAGCTGGGAATCACTGGCTAAGCAGCAAGGAAGCAAAAGACATTGCAAAGATATGTTTTATCTACCCTAATAGGCTGAGTTCACACCTCATGTTAACACACACATATACCAGTTTATAAACCATAGTGTTATGTTTATGGCATAATAATAATAACCCCAAACTATCATAGTTTACCTCAGTATGACTTGTTTGTTTTGGTTTAGCATAATGGGTGGACTAAAACGAATTGGTAGCACCCAGTTAAAATTTGGTCTGCTCATAAGCAAGCCATATTTATTGAGCTACACCAAGGTGTATGAGATGGCAGTTATGGTAATTCACTGAGAATCTGTCACCCTCTCAAATGCTTTGAGGTGCAGAGATATGCCCAATAATTTGAATTTCAGGCAGAAGATGCCCCAAGGCAAGGCTTGGCTGACTGGCATGATCAACCAATATCATGACAGACCAATATGGCTTTTGATGAGAGCAGCTATCAAATGCCCCGAATTTCTCAATAAAAATAGTTGTATAAAGCAGCCCACTGTAACCAGTTGGCCATTCAGTAGAATAGTGTGTGGTCTTACTGGAGAGAACTATAAGAATACAAATCTATACATACTTGGCCAAAAATAAGTATTTCTGATTTCAGCAGGGTTAATTTCCAGGTAAGATGATGTAAGAGTCTAAAACTCCCCTTTCAAATTGGCTACTTTCCTGAATTTTAAAGGTTTAAATCAGAAATATTTAAGGCCTACAATATTTTCATCAAACAGAAACTTCATACATTGTTGTATATGTTGTTATGTTATAGAGAGAAAAACTGCATGCTAATTTTGATCACTGTTTTTCTTTATTTGTACAGAAGGAGCAATAATAGTGACTACTAATTCTGTTCTTCCATAAAAATCCAAGTCTGGAAGATGGGTCAGTATATCTGGAATGATTATATGTTTTAAAGTCAGCTTGGCTCTCAGAAGATGATTTAAGTTAGATTTTCTCTATGAGCATCTCACCAACTTTGTCAGGACTTGAAAGCTAAGTGGTGCTGCCTTGCTTAGTACTTGGATGGAAGATTGTGTGAGAATACAAAGGCTGGAATGTTTAAAAAATCCAGAAAAAGACAGTACAGTATAAAAGCATGTTGGAACTGCTGCTAAAAAAAATGACAGAGTGATATCCGGTGGGAGGCAAACAATATTCAAATGCATCTTTTCCTTTGCTTTATTTAGAACAAGGCAGCTGTAGCAGCACAAATTTCAGGCATAAAAAGAGGTTGTATTTAGGTGAACTATTTATTAACCAAAGTTTACATGATGATAAGTGTGTTTGTCTTTCAGGTACCACAGCACTCTTTATGGCTGTAGCTGAAATTTGAAACTCTGGTGCTTCTGAAATAGCACTGTCTGTCAATGACAAACTTTTCCAGTCAGGAAGTTTGGTTCCCACGAAAGAAATCAAGGCAGTGATCGCAAAAGCTTTCCACTTAAACTTACACTGACTTTACTTTGACCGATTTCTATAAGGCTATCATTGTGGTATACTGAGGCGATGTTGGGATTATGTTAAGGGATTCTCCATGACCAGGCATGGCACTCAGATGCTCCATTTCATTCAAAACAGAGTGAAAAAGGACTGTGCTTCAGAGCCCCATTCCTTCAAGCTTCCATCCAACAAATGCTTTTGTTAGACTTAAATAAAACCAGATGAGTTTAGTCACAGAACAACACCAATACCCTCCTCTACCTACTTGCCTTCAGATATTCTCAGAATGGCACAGACATTTACTGGGAGATCCAATTTCTAAGTGCTATACTCACTGTGCCAAAGGTGGACCCTAATGCCCTCCACATCTACCAATTGCTTCACTAAAAATAATCTATCTTGTTCTCCCAGCACTGGGCTAGCCCCAGAACTACCATCTTAGAAGATTTTGACAATAGAGACTATTCTCATCTGTGCATCTCATACATGCCCAGTGACTGGTTACTTCTTTTCCCCGAAAATATAGTTACTGGTTACTTCTTTTCTCTCAGAATATAGGACTGCTGTAAGCAATCTTTTTGCAAACATAATAATGAATGCCTGCCATCTTTCAACACTGAATGGTGTGGCTTATTCAACAAATCTTGGTTAAGGAATGATAATTTTATAAACATCTTTCTATGGTGTTCTATGTTCTATAGGAACATTATGTTTAATACTGCTTGTTTCCCATGTTTGTTTTCCCTTTTATAAATAAAAAGCTGGTCTGTACTTGATTAATAAAAGCAGCATGTATTTTTGATACACTGAAAAAAATCTCTGCTTATTGCTTTATTAGATTCATCCTCAGTAACCAGAGTTCATTTTTATACTTGCGAATATAGGTTTTACTGTTTTAACATGTTATAATTAGCTGCCCAGAATTGCATTCGCAGGATGGGTGGCCAAATAAATTGATTTATAAATGAATGTACCTAGCTTGCTATTTGGAAAAAAAAGATACAATTATCTACGTAACCAATCTTCCGTCTATATAAATATATATAATTTCACAGCTTTACTAAAACATTATTCTAAACATATTAATTCATATGTGCTAGACTATGATTATTTAACAGAATTGCTGAGTGACACCCTATTCTAAACCAGCAGTCGCCAACTGGGGGCCACGGCCCACTGGTGGGACTTGAGAAAATTTTGGTGGGCCGCAGAGAAATCTCCCAAAGCAATTAATCCAGGCTGCACAGAAACACAAGGCTGTGCTGTCCGCATGGCCTGCAGGAACGCTCCCGCTCTCTCACTCTTACCCAGCAAATTTGCCTTCTAAAATTGATATTTTTCTTTTTTCTGACCATAATCTGTTCTGCTGTGCCAGGAGATTTAGATTAGCTAGGAAGCAGAAAATGGGTGGATTTCTTGCTTTCTAGCTAGTCTTTAGATCTTCGGCTCTGCTTCCCTTAGGACTGAAGGTTTCCTTGCAAGCAAATTCAGTGCAGACTCACAGCAAACAAATTTGAGAGACTGAGCTAGCCGATGGCAGATAGATAGATCACTGAATGGTTCTGTGAGCAACTTAATCTGCCTGCTTTGCCTGATTTTGGGTAAAAATTGCATTTTTTATTAAAAAAAAATCAATATTTACATACATGGTGTGTTGTGAGTTAATTTTGTGAGTTTGCTTGCAAGCAAATTTTATGAGTTTGCTTGCTAGCAAATTTTATGTGACAGATTGAGCTAGCCAATGGCAGATAGATAGATTTCTGAATGAATCTGTGATTCTGTGAGCAACTCAATCTGCTTGCCTGCTTTGCCTGATTTTGGGTAAAAGTTGCTCTTTTTTATTAAAAAAACAATATTTATATAAATACTTATATTTACATACAAGCTGTGCCCAGCCAGTCATATGACCACCAAGCCACACCCACAAATTAGGGCACATCCACAGAACCGGTTAGTGGTCCCTGGGATCTAAAATTATGAGTTTGGTGGTCCCTGAGGTCCAAAAGGTTGCTGACCCCTGTTCTAAACTATAAACTATGATTTCCCACCACAGCTTCTGGATTCACACTGACACTAAGCTAAAATTAAGCCATAGCTTAATGTAAACCATGAACCAGGCAACCTATCCAGCTAATTTTAACTATCCCAACTAATCCAATTTTCAGAGGAAAGATCCCAAAGAATTCTATTTGACCAAAGCATAGCAGCATCTGGTGCAGTAATAAGTGGCCAGCAGGAAAGCAGCAATCCACATAAGAAGACAAAAGTGTTTTTCTACCTCTAAGCATGCCTGAAATCAGTTTTAAGGAGAAGGTAATCTGGCATTTTTTTCATGCTGTTTTAATTAATGGATGGAACCAGTGCTTATAATTTGGGTGGGTGGGGGGAGGCCTGGGGAGATTGAGCAAAGTCACAGGTAACTTTCTCATCTCTGGCAAAGTGAAGAAAGATTGCTATCTGTTCCCTTTTTTCAATGCAAGTTTTTATATGGATGAGGCTGCTGGACAGATCAAACCATAACCCTTTATCCAGAAATTTCACTGGTCTGCCCTCCATCCATCCACCATAATCTTAATTTTCATAGATCCCCACCTTAGTTTGTTAGTATGAGCATGGAAGTTTCTAAATGTGATTGCAATGACACTGGGATAACTGCAGAGGGAAGGGAATTGCAAAGACTTATCCCCAAGGCATAAATTCCATCCTGCTAGTCCTTATTTCTTCAGCAGCTGCTATCAGATGGCGCAAGACATTTTGCTGCAAGACATCTCCCCTGACTTTTTTTATCCTCAAAAATCAACAACAGCAAAACTTTTCTTCAACGCTAATGATGGGGCAATATTGGTTACATCCGAAAGCAAAGTAGACTTTTTGGAGAGGACTTTCTCACTCTGGCTAACATTAGGGTCAGAATTCTGTGAAATTCATAATGCATCCAAACAGTCTCGTTTATTTGCTAGCGAACATGTCACAGTCATAGGAATATTCCCCTTCTCTTAAAGTATTTCAAGCTTACATAGTACAACTACGACCTATCCATGAACAACAAAAGCACTTGGTTTCTTAGTTTTTAAAATCTCCACACAACTGCAACCTCTTAGAACCGGAGAGCTGAGAAATATACCCTTTTGTGGCTTTCCCAATATCAAAAGGAAGCATCTAAATCGGGGCAGGCAACAGTTTCCAGACTATAACTCTCACGCTATAACTCTGAGAGTTGTAACCTAAGGAAGGCCACAGTTTGACTACTGCTTGACCCAAGCTCTGAGGAGTTGCATCTTCTTGAGCCTCAGGTGACAGGAGAATCCCTGGAGCAAAGCGACAAAGACTACGCAGCTCACCTCTCCAAGCGGCGGAGCTCCTTGCGACGGCCTTGAGGCCTGCACTACTGGGCGAGTAGCTGCTGGGCTGGCTGAGGGCTCGGCTGAAGTGTTCGTCCACCACGGCGCTGATGTCCCCTTGGAAGTAGGTGAACAAGACACACCTGGCGTTGATGTACTCGGCCTCGGGGGGGCGCTCTTTCTCTGGGCTGCACTCCTCCTCCTTGATGCTGGCCGGGGCTGCGTGGTTGGAGAAGGAGGAGCTGCTGCTACTGCCGCTGGTGCTGGCGCTCTCGGCGGCTTCCTGCATCTTCGAGTAAAAGGCTAATTTCTGTGAAGGAGAGGCAAAACGGTCAAGGTCAGGGATCCCCGCTGCCCTCCCCTCCTCCCGCCTCAAGCATTTTCTGCCCCATGAGAGGCGGGGCTGGTCTTGGAGTGACGGAGTACACTTGCCCTTCCCTCCTGTCTTTCCTCTGGGAGCCCCAGGCGGTTTACAAGGCGGTCTGCTGAGGCTCATCTAATCGCCTCCGGCCAATCAGGGCACAATTTATCGCCCTAACCAGGTTGGATGAAGCTACCCGAGAAAGCATTAGAGACGAAGCTGTTGGCAAACTGCCGTAGTCAACCATGCCGCGAGTTTGGTGGCTGGCTGGAGACCTGGCCGAGAGTCTCCAATACCGTAATTACGGTAGTATACCCCGTAGCCGTGAAAGCGCAGCTAGGAAAGAGTTCCGCGCCGCCGCGCCTATCAGCCGGCCGACTGAGAGGCTCCCCTCACCCGCCGCCTTCGAGGAAAAGGGGTTGTCAGAAAAGGCGCGCTGGGCTTCCCGCGAGTCCCACGCAAGGGACGCCCCAGTCACGCCTAGAGAAAGAGAGAGCCTGGGATTCTGAGGTGCGAGGCAGAGCTGCTCGGCCGACGAAACCTCGCTTGCCGAAAAGATCAGGCTCTCGTCCTTAACAGTTCTCAACGAGTTCTCCCCGCGCGGAGCGTGGCTTATGGGAGTGCTAGTCTAAGCCCATTTAGAAAGCAAAGGGCTTGAGAGAAAGACCGCCAAAAGCCGTCCCTCGGTTTTCAAGGTGCCGGCTTAGTTCGCGACGTCTTTGCCTCCTTCGACGGAGGCATTTGGGGTGGATATTAAGCCAAGGGGGAGACAACTCGCCTTGCAAGGGCAAAGCCGCTGCCTTTTCCGAAACCCGGATGGAAGGGCTTCGGAAAAGGATTCATTGGTCGCGGGGGAGTTTCTGCCACTCTATTCACTTCCCCAGGGAGCGTTCCTCAGCCCGCCTTGGCTGTGGAAATCCCGGAGAAAGGAAAACCCGACGTGGCCCCAGATCTTTGGTCAGCCCGCGCGGCCTGCGCTCCTTTCTCGGGTGGGCAGGCGCCAGCAAAACCTTTAAAAAAGGTCGCGGCCTCGAACTGGCCGAAGGGCTGTTTGCCAGAGACAGCCGGAGCCGAGAAGGCTGCGCTGCGCGGAGCTACATGGACAAGGAGACCCGGCCCGGGAATGGCTCGCTCGAAAAGGCCATCCATTGAGCATCTGAAGAAGGAAGGCGACCATATAGCACTGCCTAACAATTCCAAACCACCAAAGGCAGCGAAGAATTCCCCACTCGAAATCAAGTTTATTTTCTCGTTGACAGAGATTAAACACCCAGAATACACGAAAAGCTTAGGGACGTCTAAGAAAACCGCACATTAAATACTGCAACCAAGGGAAAAACTTCAGTAGTCTTCAAACAGACCGTTGAACCTGGTTGCGATTTAAAACCATATTTTGTGCCTTCGGCTTCACTGCCACAAGACTGTTGTTTTTCCCTGCCCGGATCTAACAAATTTGACCCTCTGGAAACTCTGGAACTCCGAACCTCCGAGGAAGCCCGTGATTGTCGACTTTTATAGGATTCATTAGATCCAGTATTACCGTAATGAGTGACCAAGAACAGATCTTGAAGAGCCTTGACTTCTGTCCCAAATGTACAGATTCTCAAGGACCACGGAGCAGAGTTCCAATTGACTGTCGTCTTTTGGGCGGAAGGCTGCCCTCTCTTCGGAGCAAATGCCTGCAGGGTCCTAGTTTAATTCCTTTTTCTGGGGAAAAATTAGGCATTAGGAATCACGAGCATTTTGAGGGGGCGTTTCACGAGGTGGACGTCCTAAAGAACTGTTAAGGACTCTTCCCATATTTAGCCCAAGCAGAAAAACCCTTGTTGGTTGCAAGGAGAGACAAATGAAAGAGACAAGAGACTTATTGTTTCAAAATAGATTTTTTGGGGAAAGGAGAAATCCCACCCCCCCACAAAATTTCTGTGGTGAATAGACGGAAAAGATATTTAGGAAAGGAACATATTATATTTACGAGGTTCTGAAAAAGAAAGAGAGCTCTCTCGAAAGTCGGCTAAACATTTTTCCCGTTGGCTTTCCCGAGGTTAAGCTGCTTGCAGCTGCTGCTTTGGGGAAGGGCCGAAGCAAATAATTTGGATTTGGATGCAGTGTTAAGTGCCTGGAAAACTAAATCGGAGAAACGCTTTCAAATGGGACTTTGTCAGCGAACAAACAAGGCTCGACCAATCTCTACGTCAACAATGCTTTCCTCTAAAAAGTCAAGTGAAAGGGCAACTGGAAGGATTCCCAGTCATTGGAGAAAGCAATTACCTATGGCTACTATTATGTGATGGCCAGTGCACTTTGATGCCTCCCTGTCCCAATAGTTGCAGGCAGTCTTCCTTTGAGAACTGCAACTTGTTGGGTCACTGGCGCGATCCGGGGTTCTGATAAGAAAAATGTGGGAAGGTCGTCTGATCCACCACTATCCAGAAAGGGGGAAAGCACATTATTATAAGCCAATAAGTTGTTCAGTCTTAAGACCTTTCACTTCCAGTATCCTTCAATGCCGATGTTCATGTTATTTCAGGCACGTGCCTACTTCTTTTATTCTGAAAATGCACTGCAAGTTACAGCTCTTTAATGTCATAATGTCTGTGCCCCAGAATTCTAAAATACCCTGTTTTCAAAGCAGCCACTGACAATATTCCAATACAAAATCCGCTGAAATTCCACAAGGTAGCAGGTAATGAAAACGGAGCATCTTCTCGGTGAAGATCCTTTGTTTTCAGTTTACAAGTAAGTATTCTTCAAAATGGAAAAACTGGCAATGGGTAATTTTTGTTACTATTTATATAAAGTAAGACAGCGGAGAGAAATTAAAGATTATTTTTTTGGGGGGGGGAGGGAACAAGCACACGAACACACTGCCTCCACATTTCTTCATTTTTATGGAGAAAATTGATTTCAGTTTCCTGAAGATTTAAATGAAATTTATTTTAAACGATTTCTTGGGAAGCAGAAGTTAGGCAGGCACAGAGCCTCTCTTCCTTTATGTTTGGGACTTCAGACAGCTTAGAAGGCAACCCAAACTGGCCCCATTTCTTAGTTAATGCGGCACTTCATTTCTGAACAAAAGGAGAGGAAGGGAAGTGAAACAGGTGCAATTTTCTTCTAAATCCTCTTTTAATCCTATTTTATCCTAACAGGTTTAGAATTAAACAGTATTTGTCTGTCACTGTAAATAATAACAATATTAGGCCTGTTCAGGTTGAATTTATTCTAAACTATAAAACACAACTTGTCTAAAGAGGTTTTATTAGGTGCACAATCTTGTTCTAATCACATGGATTAAAGGTTGTTCAAACGATTAAAAACAGAAGTTTCCTTGTGTTTTTTTAACAAAAGATGCTAAAGTGCAGCTAGCGGTTTATAGTCGGTCGCATCCTATCACGAATGAGGACAGCATAAGGACGTCTTCATCACCAGAAACTGCGGGGTTTAAATGAAGACGCAAGAACCAGTTCCATTTCGTATCGACTCTTTCTCGCAATGGGTTACGCAGTATGAGGAAGAGGTTTTCCGCTAGGATGCCGTGGGCGGCGGTATCGAAAGTCTGTAAAGCAGGTTAGCCGGGTTTTCAGAAACCCAGGAAAATGCCCAACACGTATGAGGAATATCTCGAGTTCAGAAAGATGGGCTGGCAGGCGAGATCCTGGTACTAAAGCCCGATACGATACCATTGCTTTCTTCTATGTATATGGCTAAAAGTCTTCCCGCAGCTATCTTAAAATAATGAGGGGGCCGTAAATGTTTCCTGTGACAGCAGCTTTTGCGGACAAATTCCACAATTGCTTAAATCACAACTGACGTAGATGAATTTCAGATGGCACCGGGTTCCGATTTGCTTAGCTGCTAATCGCTATCCGAGCGAGCGCTCTGAATACACCTTTCTAAGTTGAAAGCTAAACGATAGTTGCAAGTAACAAACTCTAATTCAGCCGCTACCAATCCGCGGCGGTCAGGGCGGTGAATCTGCTCGGATCCCGCGGCCGCCCAAAAGGTTTACATCAGCAATTTGGCCGGCTTTTCCAACAGTCCGTTTAAGATTTGCCCTCGGAGTTGTCCGCAGGAGGAAGTTGCGCGCCCGCCCACAGTCCAGCCTATGCAAAGGAACCCAACCGAACCCACACAAACAACTGGGGGAAACGGAACCCTTCGCCAAGACCACCTTGCAGTCCATGCATTTTAAAAGGGGTGACTGCTATATGCTCCCACCCACCCTCCACCCATCCATTCCGGGAAAGAGAAAGCTATTGGCCGACAGCGCGAATAAACCCCCAGGCGAATACGATCAGTCCCAGGCCAGTCTCTCCCACAGGAAGAGACCTTGCCCTTTGGAGGGAAGCGCCCATCCAGCGACTTACCTGGTGGTAAGGACTGTAGGCGGCTGCGAAGTAAGGCTGAGGAGGACCGTAGACTTGGTACATAACATCCAGACAGCTCATGGCGAAAAGCGGCTGGGGCTGGCGCCGCAAAGCGGGCTAGGAGGCCAAGCCAAGGGGCGGCTTCTTCATGGGGCTTCCCGGGAAGCAGCCGAGCCCCCTCGGCCACTAGGAAAAGATGACGCCGCCCTGGGAAGATGCGGGCTTTGCTCTCCCTCCTTCAACGCACCCGCAACAGTCCCCCAGCTCAGGAGCCAAAAGGCGCGGCGGGCGCCCGTCCGGAGGCATTTAAACGGCAGGGCCGGCGTGAGGCGGAGGCGGGCCAGGACCAATGGGGAAGCCGCGTGCGCGCGCGCCCCGGACGCCCTCGTGCGCCGCGGCCACTCGTGTTGCGCTGCTTTGGGCTGCTGCGAGGCTGAATTTCTCGTCCTTCCCTTGGAGAATAACAGCGGTGGCACCGTCTCTTGGAAGCTTCGTCCAGGATCGATTGGTTGCATCCCTGGTCCTCCAACTCAGGAACGCTCGAGAAAGAGAAAGAAACATCTGGAAATGCAGTGAGAGACCTGGGGGGAATCAACAGATATAGTCCGAACGCTGAGCGTCGACTGATCCTCTTCTTCGTTCCATAATAGGAACACATTTTTCTGGATGCCTTGATAGATTCAGATTGAAAATGCATGGACGTTTGGAAAGGGATTGAGGGCGGTGGAACCCTCCTACCCTCTTTTTTTCCCAGTTGTATCCCTTCCTAGTTCTGGTTAGTTAATAGATTGGCTTTGTTCCCCTAACGGGGCTGCTGCGGTTCTATACGCTCTCTGTACCATAAGACAACCACATAACCTTGGTTTGTACAATGTGAATCTTACTTTGTCGATCTGTGCATGGTAAAAACAGAACTGGTCATTAACTGTAGTCCTTGTCTGACAGAAGATTTGGCATTTAAGATACTAATTTAGCAAACGGGACCCAAAAGGGACCTAACTTTGGAAGTTTCTACTATTTTTTTGCTCTTATCCTCTGCTTCTTATATTTTCTCCTATTGAAATGGAGAACCTGAAAGTTACACATTTTTGTGACATTTAGGTTGTTTTTTTCCTTTTCTAATAAAACAATGTGATTCTTTTTGTTTCACCCAAATCATAGGAAATTATGAAATCATGAACTAACATTACTGTAATATGCTAATGCAGATAAATTATACTAATGTTAGTTTATTTCAAAATCTGTTATCATTAAACAGTGTGTGTGTGTGTGTGTGTGAGAGAGAGAGAGAGAGAGATGTATGGGTATGTGTATGCATAATAAACCCAACACCAAATACTTCCTTTTCTTTCATTTCCATATTCATCTACCTGAATAGTAGTGATTTGTATGGCTTTCCACAGTCTCTGTTCCTTGGCATTTTAAAGCTAATGAGTTATAGCAGCAATACTAATTAAGAACAAAAAAAATAGCCTTATAGAAATGAAATTAACAAGAGTGTATTCAAATATGTATAGAACATGTTCACTTTGCCAACTGGGGCAGAGAGGGGAGGCTGGCTCAGGATATGGGTATCTACCTCAAACCAGTTGTAAACAAACCAGACAGAACTGATCAAATTAATTTCACACCAGAGTCAATGCAAAAAATAGAACCAATTCATAATAAGTCATGCATCTCATCTCTCCCTCCCTCCCTCCCTCCCCCCTCCCTCTCCTGTATATGCAAAATAGCATATCCTTACTGTATTCAGAGAGGCATCTAAATATGTAGCAAGCACCTGGTCAATCTTGTCTCTATTTGGATGCTAAGCTGATTTGGGCCTGGTTAATACTTCTTTCCCCACTAGAGTATTCTAGAATCATCCAATCATTGTTGTGCCAGAATAAAAGTAGTACAGATAGACATTCTATCACTTCAATACAGCTATAATGGAGTGATGCAGTGAAGATGTTATAAGTCTTTGATAGGGACATGACCTTGGATGTGAGATCCCTTGAGAATTTCAGGACTGTAGACTAGACTGGAAAGTTGAACAAATATCTTGGAAGAAAGAAATAGCAAACTACTTCCATAATGTTGCCAAGAAAAGGGCATGGACTATATTTTCTACTCATATAATCCTAGAAGTTCAGTTTAACTTGAGGATGTCTTTACCTTTACTGTGAGAGATAGATTATGACAGGCAATAGGCTGTCTCAAACAAATGCTCATGCTTTCTATTAAGAATCCAAGCAAATATTTCCCTTAAAGTGAAAGAAAAAGGTCAGTATTGACATCCACTATGAAACTGTTATGCTATTCAAATCATGAGCAAGTAGAAGTGGTGACCACATTTTGGCTCATATAAAGATGGGCATATAAAGATGTAGTGATGGGCACATCATTCAGCAAGATTAGGTAATCCAGTGAAGCACCTTGCATCCATATCTAGTTTTCAGATATGGAAATTCAACATTAGGAATCAGCCTAGATGAATGTAAAGCCAGCATTCTGGAACAAAGACAGGGAGAGGCTGCCAAACTCCCGCATTTGACAAGAGGTGGTACCTATGATCCTAGCTAGACTCATCCTAGCTAGATTCTCCATTCAGGAATAGGATTTGGTTGCTGGTGAAAGATTTCCCTCTTCTGTCCCTATGAGCATCACATCCCACTTATTGCAGAGACCCTTCCTCCATTAAACAAAAGAAGAGGTAACTGATGCAATACCACAGCTTAATATCTGTTATGGAGGTACCTTATAACGGCTGCTATTTCTGGCAAATGGTCATCATCATTGCTTGTGTTTTTCTTATGATCAGCTCAGCTGGTGGTCCTCCTTGCTTGAATATATGTGGTTGCTGACATCAGGAAGTAGGAAGTAGTCCTACTGGTTATTTTCTAGCTAGGAATTGGAAAGAAGAATGTATTCACCTATGTATTTGGCCAAAGATTTCCTGGCAGCTGGCCTTGTAGAGTCACTTCTCCCAAATGAGCTGGAAGGCAGTGTGGTGACATTTGAAATAGTGCTAGCATGACTTGCAGACATCAGAAAGGTACGCAAGCTGAAGCAGGAAAACATCCCTAATTGTCATTAAAATGATTTGGATGAATGTGAAGTTCATAATCCAGGAAAACATATTTACATTTAATCAAATTAAATACTGTAGTGTTGAATAGTACCCTAAAAAGATATTAAAGAAATGTCCAGTTGTTTCAACATGATCTACAATCTACTTATTTTAGATTGTAATGTGACACATTTTAAACTAGAATCAATTCACAAAATCTACTTCCAAATCAGTTTATCGCCATGGCATAGAGATACCTCTTATTACCTGCATAATTTTAATGAACCACACATCAGCATATGAAATCGGTTTGTAGTTTTCTTTTTTTGAAAATTTTATGTGGGTTTTCACAAAAACAAAATACAAATAAAACATCTTTTTTGAAAATAGCATGGTCCCAAATTATCATTTCTTCATACAGACACAAAACTCAATTTCATGCTCATTTTTATATTCTATTCCATATCTTATTACCATTTTATATTACCATTCTACATAGTTTTTCTCCTCTTTTAATTTTCTCAACTTTGTTTTAATTATCCCATCTCAATTCAAATCATTATATTTATACTTTTGTCTGTCCTGTTTCAATTTCACATTATCTTTTCTTATTAAGCAAATTTTTCCCTGTAGTTACCAATTAGAGTATGACACCTTTATATCCTTTAATTTTATCCATTCAAACTCTTATTTAAGCTTCAATGTATACCTTTAAGATTATAGCATTCAATGTAATACATAACTTCAAATCGAGTTCTGCTTGGTACATTCTTAAAATAGATACTATATTCTTAAAAAGAAAACATTGTATATAAATGTAAATAAAACACACATTCCATTCCAATTCAATTCTATCATTAATATGCATTAAAATCTTAACATAAATCATTACTAATAATTAAAAATGTTCCCTTTTAATTCAATCATTTTAATTCATTTATTTATCAACAAACATCCCACTACATTACAGTAAATATTTTATCCATCATCATATTTTCTAAAATTATTTCTATTTGTAATATAACAATGCTATCTTATGTACCTTTGCAGAATCCCTTTTGCAATTAATTTTTCACCCATTATCTCTAAACAAGCTTATGGTTACAATCCTTATATCTTTTCTCTGTTTATCCATTTCTTGTTTCTGTTTTTTACAACTTCTTTTCCTTGCCTTCTTCCCCCTCTTCTTCTCCCTCCCCTTTTTACCCCCTCGTCTCTCTACTTCTAACTCTCTCATCTGTAATCCCCTCTTCTGTTGCTTTCTAATGTTATACTTATCTTTCAAATTGTTCTTCTTTTTGGTTGCTTTTTCTAGTCTTAAACCTTTCACTCTCTTTCCCCACTTTCTTTTTTTCCCCCCACTTAAAATTATTTGATCATTAAAGATGGCTTCTTCTTTGTCCCAATCTTCTTGTACTGCAAGCATTTCTTGTTGCTTCTCATAGTTCCAGATCTCCATTTCTAAGAATTGAAACACGAAGCCAAAATAACTTCTCCCTTCTTGTGCATCTTCTTTCCATTTTTTAAGTTCCGTTTTCAGTTCTTCTAAGAGTGATACCATTTTAAAAACTTTTAAATAACCACTTGGTTAATTTTAGTCATCTAGATGCAAAAACCAAAAATCAACAAATAATCCAAGGCTGCTTCTTTTTTTCCACTTTCTCTTCCTGGGGTTCTATTATTTTGTTACCAAGTTTCAATTAAAATGTATCTTTGAGGAATCTTGTTAAAATTTCACTGTAAGTTCCTTTTAATTACAGTTCCATTCCTTAATTCCAGGCAGTCTCCTCCATTTTTCCAGATCCTGCCCTTTTATTTTTTTTTCTCCTTTCCTGCTTTTAAAAACTTTTAAATGTCCAGAAATCTTTATTATCCCTTTGACTTTTATTTTCAGCTTAGATGCCTATTAATGTCAAAGTGGATTTTTTTTTAATTTCTTGCTTAAGTCTCTTAGAAATCAGTATAGGGAAGGGAAGAAAAAAAAAACCTAATCCTTTCCCTTCTCTCTCTCCTTCGCAGCTTCAAAATCTTCTTTAGGAACGATGTTGTTAAGTTTAAATTCCAGGGTACCTTATTTGTTGCTTTTGCTGTTTGACCCGGTCAACCAAAATTTTCTTTTCTTATCTT